CTCTGACTCAAAAAAAAAAAAAAAAAAAGAGAGTATGTATTGCTTTTGTAATAAGAAAAATAAAAATAGGCTGGGCACAGTGGCTCACACCTGTAATCCTGGTACTTTGGGAGGCCAAGGTGGGAGGATTGCTTGACACCAGGGATTAAAGACCAGCCTGGATGATATAGCAAGAAATCATCTCTACCAAAAAAAATGTAATTTATATATATATTATTATATTATATATTTATATATGATATAGTTATTAAATAGAAATAATTATATATATATATGTACACACACACACATATTCAAACTTTAAGCTAACAGAGTGCTCATAAATCATGCCGGGTCTCCACTATATTTCTTTTGCTTTTTCTTTTTTATAGTTGGAGTCTCATTCTGTTGCTTAGGCTGGAGTGCAGCACCATGCTCACGCCACTGCAGCCTCGACCTACTGGGCTCAGGTGATCCTTCCACCTCAGCCTTCCAAGTAGCTGGAACCACAGGCATGTGCCACCGTGCCTGGCTATTTTTTTAATTTATCTGAGAGATGAGGGCTCACCAAGTTGCCCAGGCTGGTCTTGAACCCCTGGACTCAGGTAATCCTCTCGCCTCAGCCTCCCAAAGTGCTGGGATTACAGGCTTGAGCCACCACGCCCAGCCTCCACTGTATTTCTAAGACAACTCCAACAGGGAAAGAAAAATCCCTTTTTCCTCCTTGAAGACAAAGGGTGTCAAACACAACACAGAGGTAATCCCTGTCTTGGTGCGGGAAAACGAGCAGGTGTTCTGGGACTAGCACCTCCGGGATGCTCACCTTTCTTGCCTCAGCTTCTGGGACAGCCACTGCAGGTATGGGGAGGGAGACCCGGAGCTTCTCTCCAGCAGGGCTACGTCTGCCGTGCACATGCTCCAGAGGAAGTCGGCTTCTGGGTGCACTGTGCAGGGACCGGGCTGCAGTGCCCTGGGCTCCAGGCTGTTTACCGCTGGCCCATCCACCTCCAGGAAGTTGCTGTCCTCCCGTCGGTCCTCTGACCCCACGTAGTTCTGAATGAAGAAGAGCTTTGGCTTCCCCACTAGAGAAGGGCACACGTCTCCCATGAACATCCTCCTGATCTGGTACAGGGGGAGCCTCAAGTGAGTCTGGCTCACACCAAACAGACTCTGGGTGTCTCCTCGGCTCACCAGGACACACAAAAAGCTGTCGTAGTCTCGGTGCTGGGGCATGCGGGCAACCCGGTGGAGAATCTGGGTCATATCATCCACATTGAGATAAAAGAAACTCTGGACGTCATAGCCCAGGGAAGTGAAGGTCTCTCGAAGGGTCTCTGGAGGAAACAAACACACATGGAAAACAACATCAGAGTGAGAAAAGCTTGGCAGGAATTAGTAGGGTCCCAGACTGGGCTGGTCTCCACAATGTATCTGTTTTTGTTTTTGTGTAACAGTTTGAGGGACCTGAAGTCAGGAGGGATGGGATCCACTTGAAACAGAAAAGATGTGCCCTTCATGTCCCATGTCCCCAATGATGGTCTGTCCCCTTCTACGCCACTGTCCCTGTCTGATGCCACTGCCACACCTGGCCACAGGCATAGACTAAGCTCATTTTAGCCCAATCAAACCAAAACCTCTTCTCTTCAACCAAAACAATGTGGGGATTTTTCAAAGGCTCTTTCTTTCTTTTTTCCTTTTTTTGAGTCAGGGTCTCACTCTATCACTCAGGCTGGAGTGCAGTGACACCATCATGGCTTACCATAGACTCCACCTCCTGGGTTCAGGCAGATCCTTCTGCCTCAAATTCCCGAGTATATGTGACTACAACATGCGCCACCATGCCTGGCTAGTTTTTATTTTATTTTATTCTTTGTAGAGATGAGGTCTCTCTATGTTGCCCAGGCTGGTCTCAAACTTCCGGGCTCAAGCAATCCTCCCACCTCAGCCTCCCAAACTGCTAGGATTACAGACGTGAGCCACCGTGCCCAGCCAAAAGTCTCTTTTCTAAAATAATGGAGCTGGGTTTGGTGGCTCAGCCTGTAATCCCATGCTTTGGGAGGCTGAGGTGAGTGGATTGCCTGAGCCCGTGGGTTCGAGACCCGCCCGGGCAACTTTGCGAGACCTCATCTCTACAATAAATAAAAAAATTAGCCGGGCATGGTAGCGCGCGCCTGTAGTTCCAGCTACTGCAGAAAGCTGAGGTGGAAGGATCGCCGGAGCCCAGCAGGTCGAGGCTGCGGTGGCCGGGAGTGGCCACTGCACTCCAGTCTGGGTGACAGAGTGAGACTCCAATTCAAAAAATAAATAAATAAAATAAAATAAAATAATGGGACACACAAGTCCATGGGAAGGGAGGCATTTGCAGAGTGCAAAGCCAAGCCTAGATCCAATGGCTGCAGAAGTGGTGACAGGTCAGGAGTCCCTCACCTCCACCTGCTATGGTCTGACACTGAAGTCCCTGGTTGTGACCACTTCCAGACTCCCCAGTATCCTTGTGACCTGCTTTCCAGTGTGACTCTGGGTAGTGTGAGTCCTCAGCCAACATTTCTTATAGCACCCTCAAAGATCCTTCTCCTAGCTTCCACAAGCCCCAGAATGACTTTGCAGGGGATTGAAAGGCAGTAGTGGAAAGAGTAGACTTCACAGTAGATAAGCCTGTGCCCAGTGCCAACCTCACTACACCTCCCGCTGCACGACCCTGACATACAGGTTCCCTGACTTTATTTATTTTTTGAGTTGGAGTCTCATTCTGTCACCCAGGCTGGAGTGACAGCCACCCCAGCTTTGGCCTGCTGGGCTCAGGGGATCCTTCCGCCTCAGTGTTCCAAGTAGCCAGAACTACAGGTGTGTGCTACCATGCCCAGTTAATTTTTGATTTATTGTAGAGATGAGGTCTTTCTGAGTCGCCCGGGCTGGTCTTGAACCCATGGGCTCAGGCAATCCTCTCACCTTGGCCTTCCCAAAGTGCTGGGATTGCAGGCTGAGCCACCGAGTCCGGCCTTCCATGACTTTAAATGGAAGTGATGACATCCACCTTACAAGGCTGCTGTGAGGCTGGGCTCAGTGGCTTAGCCTGTAATCCCAGCACTTTGGGGGGCTGAAGCGAGTGGATTGCCTGAGCCCGTGGGTTCGAGACCTGACCAGGCAACTTGGTGAGACCTCGTCTCTATAATAAATCAAAAACTAGCCTGGTGTGGTAGCGTGCACCTGCAGTTCCAGCTACTTGGAAAGCTGAGGCGGAAGGATCACTGGAGCCCAGCAGGTTGAAGCTGTGGTGGCCGGGGCACGCTACTGCACTCCAGTCTGGGGCAACAGAGTGAGACTCCAACTGAAAAAAAAAAAAAAGGCTGCTGTGAGGACTAAATAATGCACATACAGCTCTTTGTGCTCAATAAATATTGGTTTCTATTCCCTTGTTTCCAATCTTTTTTGTCCTTCTTCTAGAAGTTTCTATGGTCCTAGTCTATACCTTTCTCATATGCTCAGTATGCCTTCACTGGAGGAAAAAGCACAGCCTCCTGAATCAATTTATATCCTTTTTTTTAAAACACAGATCCCATTAGCTCTTTTTTGTTTTAAGTGGGATCTTACTCTATTGCCCAGGCTGCAGTGTAATGACACAATCACAGCTTACCACAGCCTCAGGTGACCCTTCCACCTCAGCCTCCCAAGTAGCTGGGACTACAGGCATGAGTCACCATGCCCAGCTAGTTCTTTAAAATTTTTTTTGTAGAGACGAGGTCTCACTATGCTGCCCAGGCTGGTCTCAAACTCCTGGGCTCAAGCAATCTTCCCGCCTTGACCTCTCAAAGTGCTGGTATTATGGGCATGAGCCACCAAGCCCAATCAATTTATATGTTTCTAATAGCAAAGGGAGACTTCTTTTTCTTCCCCATTCAAAAAGTCCACACCCTTTATATTCCTGTTTCTTATCTGGGGGATGCTTCTAGCTCTTCATTCATTTTCTAGGCAGAGAAACTGTTCTGTCCCACATCCAGAGACTAAACAAGCACCTCCCAATTCAGTCTGCCACTCCAACCATTTGTCCAATTCTCTGGATTTGTTTCCAGATCTCATGACTGGCTGCCAACCTCTCTTCCTGACCTGGAGCTTGGCCTTCCAGAAGTCTACACTGCATTCACCCCAAACCAAATAATGCAATAATAGTTATAGCAAATATAACTTTCACCAAAGAATAAAGGAGCCCCATCTCATGACAGCGTAAGAATCACAGAAAAGCTGGATACAGCGGCTCACGTCAGCCTGGGCAACATGGCAAGACCTTGTCTCTACAATAAATCAAAAAAATTAGCTGGGCGTCGTGGCGCATGCCTGTAGTTCCAGCTACTTGGAAAGCTGAGGCAGAAGGAGCAGGTCGAGACTGCAGTGATCTTGAGCGTGACACTGCACTCCAGCCCAGGTGACAGAGTGAGACTCCAACTCAAGGAAAAAAAAAAAAGGAAACACAGAAAGGGATTGATGGGAGAAAAGTACCTGGAGGCACCACATAACTGTTTACTACAAGTTCTCAATTATCTACACTCAGTGGGAACAATATGAAGTATTGACAGTTGTAAGTAATTCAAAGATCCACAGCTTCAGTCAACAGTTTCAACTTCCTTGCTCCCTTCTTGCCAGTTTCAACCTTCCTTACCAGTGACTAAGGAACTATAAAAGTGAAAGTGAGCAATTTCAATTTCTCGGCTGTATGCTAAGCAGGACATAGGAAAAACATAAAAGGTAGAAGAAGAAACAAAGCCTTGGGTAAACAAAAAGCTAGAATGACTGGTCACTGGACAAGTGAGTGTTGGCTTAGTCACTCAGCCTATGAGCAGTATCTGTACCTATTCACACAGTGTCTGGTAGAATGTTCTGGCTCGGGGACCTGGATTGGCCTCACATTCTACCAAAGATGGTGGTTTTAAGATATGTTTTTTGATGGGTGTGGTGGCTCACTCCTGTAATCCCAGCACTTTGGGAGGCTAAGGTGGGAGAATTGTTTGAGTCCAGGAGTTTGAGACCAGCCCAGGCAACATAGCAAGACCCCATCTCTACAAAAAAATAAAAAAATTAGCTGGGCATGGTGGTGTGCACGTATAGTTCCAGCTACTCGGGAGGCTGAGGCAGAAGGATTACCTGAGTCCAGGAGATTGAGGCTTCAGTGAGCCATGATCATCGTGATTATGCCAACTCACAAAAATAAATGTATAAATATATATACAAATATATATGATTTTTAAAAGTCACCAGGGCCGGGCTTGGTGGTTCAGTCTGTGATCCCAGCACTTTGGGAGGCCAAGGCCAGTTGACTGCCTAAGCCTGTGGGTTCGAGGCCAGCTCTGGCAACTTGGTGAGACCTCGTCTCTACAGTAAATTAAAATAATTAGCCGGGTGTGGTAGCGCGCACCTGTAGATCCGGCTACTTGGAAGGCTGAAGTGGAAGGATCACCAGAGCCTAGGAGGTCGACGCTGGGGTGGCTGTGAGTGTGCCACTTCACTCTAGCCTGGGCGACAGAATGAGACTCCAACTCAAAAAAAAAAGTTACCAGGCTGGGCATGGTGGCTCACACCTATACTCCCAGCACTTTGGGAGGCCTAGGTGAGAGGATTCCCTGAGTCCGCAGGTTTGAGATCAGCCTGGGCAACTTGGCGAGACCTCATCTCTACACTAAATCAAAATATTAGCCGGTTGTGGTGGCACATGCCTGTAGTTCCAGCTACTTGGAAGGCTAAAGCAGATCACCTGAACCCAACAGGCTGAGGCTACAGTGGCTGTGAGCATGCTACTGCACTCCAACCTGGGCAACAGAGTGAGACTCCAACTAAAAAAAAAAAGTCACCAGACAAGGTAGTTTTAAAATATATCAGCCGGGCTCGGTGGCTCAGCCTATAATCCCGCGCCTTTGGAAGGCTGAGGTGAATGGAGTGCCTGAGCCTGCGGGGCCAAGACTCGTCTGGGCAACTTGGCGAGACCTCATCTCTACAATAAATCAAAAAAATTAGCCAGGCGTGGTAGCGCGCGCCTGTAGTTCCAGCTACTGAGGCGGAAGGATCGCCGGAGCCCAGCAGGTCAAGGCTGGAGCGGCCACTGCACTCCAGTCTGGGCGACAGAGTGAGACTCCAACTCTAAAACAAACAAACAACAACAACAACAAAATATATATATATATCTCTACAGCTGGGCTCGGTGGCTCAGCCTGTAATTCCGTGCTTTGGGAGGCTAAGGTGAGTGGATTGCCTGAGCCTGCAGGTTCGAGACTTGCTTGGGCAACTTGGCAAGACCTCATCTCTACAATAAAAATCAAAAATTAGCCAGGCATGGCAGCGCGCGCCT